ACCCTCACTTCGACAAGGTTGGGAAGTGGGTGCCACTTACGCCGGTTAACGGCAACAACGTCTTCACATTCGGCCCCCACCTCCCAACCTCAACGTCGCAGACAGACACAGACTCGACCAGACAGACACAGACTCACCCAGACGTACATAGACTCATCCAGACTCACACACAGTCACCCAGAATCACCCAGACTGACACAGACTCACACAGACTCACACAGACTCATCTAGGCTCACACACACTCACACAGACTCACACAGTCTGACCCTGATTCGCACACACTCACACAGAGTGACGCAAACTCAAACACATTGAAGCACTATCAAACAGAGTCGAACAGACTAACGCGCAATTCATCAGAGAATAAAAAAGAATGACACGGATTGAATGAAGCTCAAACGGACTCACCCAGACTGACACAGATTCAAACACACTCACACAGACGCACCTACACTCACATAAAGTCACACACACTTGCTCACACCCACACACAGTCAAACACACTCATCACAGAGTGAGCAGGGCCAAGGCATGACACTTTAGATGACGTATCCCTAAAGTATGGCCAACCTTTCAACACGGTTGGATAGTGGGCGCCGTTTACCGAACAATGGCGAGACCGTCCTTGTTGAAATGGACTGCACTTGGCAACCACACGATTGGGTAGTGGAAGCCATTTAGCAAACGACTCAGTAGTACCATGTTTCTCTTGCGTCTACGCGTCTGTGCACATGTRATCATGACTTATGATGCAYCAGGATATTTTTCAGTCACTGTATGTGGAAGTGTTAACTTGCATGAAAACTCACYGGTTCTTCTGTCGAGAAACAAATGTGACCATCCATACGTCACGGTTGTCCACACGACCATTGAGACACGCACAATGGGACAAACATAAGAAAGGAAAACAGAATGTCATTACCACACAGCATCCTCACACACCGACCCACCCTCTTAATATGAATTGCAACAATAAAAGGAAAAACGACAGACACACACAAAAGAAGCAGCAGACAAGGGTCTGCAAATTTCCGTCTTAGTTCGTGGTCAACCAAAGACATGATTAGAGAAAATGAATGTACAGATGTCGTTGTTAATGACGGCATTACAAAAATCGAGGACCTATGACCCGAACATATGATCGCACGCACACACACACACACACACACACACACACACACACACACACACACACACACATCTGTGCAAACACACAGACCCGTTCTCGTCCAACCAGACTCATTTCTTTTTTTTCTGAGGTGTCCTGCTTTTCACCGGCTTTCCTTTTCTCTTTGACGCCCCCCTTGCCTCCCCTCTCCCCTCCTGTTCAGCAGACCCGGGCGCTGCTTGTTGTGTGTTCGTCTCATCAGCGTTTGCCCTCCTCCTCTCCTGTCGTTGTCTGTTTAACTCTTTCTCGTCGAGGATGCCTTTGGTGAAAACTTGCCAACGCGGATTTTGCAATGCGCCAACGAGCCTCATGTCCCGGGGCATGATCGTGACCCGCTTCGAATGGATTGCAACCTCGTTCGTGCTCTCCATAAGATGCACGACATAGGCTTCAGCTGCCTCCAGAAGTGCTCGAATGGCAAGCATCCCGAACCGCACAGGCTCTGTTGCGACCTCTTTTTTCTTCTGTGCTGCGTTGCAGTCGGCGCATCTCTGCCATAGCAGCCTCTCTGGGCCGGCGATTGCGCATTGGCGGCCCTTGACTCCCTCCAATTTTCCGGCTTGTGTCACCATCCATTGCTGCCCCCCCTGGCCCCTCCCCCTTCCTCTTCCCCTCCCACCATCCAGTGGTGCCTCGCCCCCCCGTCCCTTACCTCGACCGCCTTTCCCTCGTACCGTCGTTGTCCCCTCGTTGTCGCGTTTGGTTCTTGCCTTCTGCTTCGTTCCTTGGCCCGTCCGCCTGCTGCCATCGGTGCACACTTTGCCGGTCACCGGCGCGCTCATCCCCACAACAACACGTCCTGCACCCGAGTCTGCAACCGGACCGTCAACGTCGCATCCCCCGGGGCCGTCGTGTGGGGGTCCGTTCACCTCGCCTGCCGGTTGTCTCGTCTCTTCGGACTCAAGTTCTCCAATCCCCGCATTCTCATTGTTCCCTTTCATGTCCTCCCCTACCATGTACTCTATGTGCCGCAGCAAACCATCAGAGTACGTCACAAGAAACGGAACACCCAGAGGGTCTCTGAACTCCATGGACAGATCTGCCCCGCAGGCATAATGCATGGGACAGACAACGGGTACCCATCCAAGAAGTGCTGACCGCCCGTGTCTGCGGCGAATGAGGCTGGGACAGTTATCAGGAAAATCTGCAAAGATGTATGCGCCCGCGCCAGCAGCCTGCAGTCCCCACATGTTCTCGTCCTCACGACCGTCATATCCACACAGCACCATCTGACGGTCCTCAACCTTCAGATTATCCCAACACATCTTAGCATGTTCGCGCAATAACGCTTTGTCATTCACCCTTGCATTGCATATCGAAACACGAGCCAGAACAACCATGAATTGCCAATGCTCAACAACACCTGAAGGGACCCAAACCATAGGTACCCACTCGCCACCTCGAAGTCTGGCAGCGATCGTAACTTTATTTTCAAAAATGGCAGGATGAAGGACACCAGGTACCCAATTCACATGATACCCGTACATCTCCGCAGATGAATGTGTGCTCAACTCCATTTGTGGAAAATAGTGGCAGATATGTCAATATCTGGCAGCCTCTCCGTCATTGTCCTCTCGGGGTCCCATATACTAACGAAGAGACCATCATAAGTGACCTCCCTTCCTCTGATATGCCGCAGACAAATGTTGTCTTCCCCAGAAAAAAACTTTTCCCTCTACAATTGGCGAAAACACGGGGTTCTGCAGTGGGATCAGACGTCTCCCTGTCGCAGCATCAACGGACTCCGCCATCTCATACTCCAAACAACGAGACAAAAACTCCCCATTTACAAAAACTGTGCTCCAACAGTTCCCCATGAGATCGCGCACAAGCATCCTTATCTCCCCATATTCACAAGGAATGCTTGATGGCACCCAACCCCACCGCGCATCCCGCCTTGCATCATTCTTCTTACACACTCCCTCCCCAACCCGGTTGCTGTCAGAAATCACCCATTGTTGGGAGCACTACTCATGATCGTAAAAGAAGTCATTGAAACGTAACCCCCCCCTTTTCTGCCAACGCCTCCCAAAGGACATGTGTGTTTTTGATCAGATCTAGAAGCGCAACGCCGTCATTCAGCCTTGTCAGTCGGTCGAAAATAATGGCAGCCATTATGTACCGCCATGTTGCCAAATTTGGCGGAGAATAAGGAACCCATGTATCACCGGTCTTGAAGGCAAAGCAGTGTTGAGCCCCGATCAAGCCTGGCTGCACCTTGCCGGGCTCCCAGTTTATATCGTGCAGGAAATGCGTTCCTGCTTCAGTCTTGGTGATTGTGTCACTCGAAACTGTGCACATCGGAGTGTCTCCGTCGCCTGTCCCTTCGCCGTTATCCACGTCCTTGGTGCCAGCCACGCTAATGACACCCAAGAGGCCCTCTGATTCCATTTGCAACGTCGATTCCAGGTTTTTATCGTTACCTGCCACCCCTCTCCCAGGACTGCGAACGCAGTGCTTGTAAGAGTCGTCTCTTACTATGACGTTCGAGATATGTTGATGCAGGTCTTCGCTCGTGCATGCAATAGTCTCGCCCACCATGTTCGTGGAGACATTTGACTTCTCCATCTATAAGACGAGACATGACATACATGTTGCATAACATGTAATGGCCGACACGTTAATCGAGAGAGAGAGAGAGAGAGAGAGAGAGAGAGAGAGAGAGAGAGAGAGAGAGAGAGAGAGAGAGAGAGAATCGAAGACGTATGTGTCGGTGTGAGGGATTGGCGATGCAAGATGAGCAATATGCACACAGGGAACCCCTGACATCAACACGGTTGAGAAGTGGGTGAAAGGTATGCCCGGATGCAATGACAAAGTGTTACTAGACGACCCCCGCATGCAGACACACACACACACACACACATACACACACACACACACACACACACATGGACACACAATATCAACAGAATCGTGAAAAAAAAAAAAAAAAAAAATCCCTCACTTCGACACGGTTGGGAAGTGGGTGCCACTTACGCCTATTTACGGGAACAACGTCTTCGAAATCGGCCTCAACCTCCCAACCTCTACGGCATAGGTGTAAGTTATGTGATATGGTAATACCACAGAGAGAGAGAGAGAGAGAGAGAGAGAGAGAGAGAGAGAGAGAGAGAGAGAGAGAGTATTCCCCATTTCCACACACACACACACACACACACACACACACACAGACACACAATATCAACAGGATTGTGCAAAAACAAAAAATTTCCCTCATTTCGACAAGGTTGGGAAGTGGGTACCACTTACGCCGGTTAACGGCAAAAATGTCTTCACATTCGGCCCCACCTCCCAACCTCGACGTCATAGGTGTAAGTAATGTGCTACGGTAATACAAGAGAGAGAGAGAGAGAGAGAGAGAGAGAGAGAGAGAGAGAGAGAGAGAGAGAGAGAGAGAGAGAG